CAGCCAATGTTATCTACATTTAGCAGAATGGACCAAGGGTCTCTTCTGTCCCTTGTTCTCATGATCATATGTGTGGGTGTTGTTTTAAAGACTGGTGATGTGATAGTATGGTTTCACATATGATCCAGGAACACATGGACCCAGAACTTGGGTCATGTCTTAGTCAGAGTTTCTATTGCTGTAAGAGGCACCATGACCATGGCAACTCTTATAAAGAAAAACATTTAATTGGCTTACAGTTCAGAGGTTTAGTCCATTGTTGTCATAACAGGAAATATGGTGAAACACAGGCAGTCATGATGCAGGAGAAGGAGCCAAGAGTTCCACATCTGGATCCACAGCACCGTGGGCCTGGCTTGAGCATTTGAAGCCTCAAAGCTGACCCCTAGTGACACATTTCCTCCAAGAAGTTCACACCTACTCCAACAAAGCCACACCTCCAATCCCTATCAAGTAGTACCACACCCTAATGACCACACATCCAAATATATGAGCCTATGGGGAATATTCCTAACCAAACCACCACAGGCTGTGAGTCACAAAACCTATGTTGGTCATGACTACGCAGGTTTGCATGGGGCCATGAGAAGATATATAGATGCCATGCTACCTGGGTTTGAGAACAGGGGCAGGATTTTTGCTCTCGGCAGGTGTAAGCACAGGGATTCAAGATGAAGTGCATGGTCCTATAATCACCCGGAAAGTCTGAAACACTACACAGTCGTCTTTGGCACCTCTGCCAGGGCATCACTGAGACAAATGCTGTCTTGTCCACAGAAGTGCTTCGTAATAAGGGTAAGCTCTTTCCTATGAATGGAACCATTCCCTGCTGGAGATTGAGATTCGGTAAATAAACAAATTCACAAGTTTCAGGCAGTTCCTCAAACTTGCAGGCTCATGAGGCCCCTCCCCAGGGTAACACAACAGCAATATTTGCTCCAGCAGGGTTAACCTGGGCTAGTCTCACAGGAAACTCCAAGGATGCAGCTTTTCTGAACCCATTTGAGCCACATGCTTGTAAGGAACCCCAATAAACTCATTGCTTCGCTCAGCTAGACCTGGACCCTGGACGGAATGTTTTATTTGATCTGTCCTCACCCTGTCTAGGGTGAGCCTGTTCACATCTCCCCAAGAAATGTCACATGACACTTGCAGAGATAAAAGAGCCTAAATAAGTGGATGGTTCTGGAATATCAAGGTGTGTGTGTGTGTATCACTCAGCTTCCCTTTGGCCTCTGGCAAGTGTAAACTCACAAACAGGGAAGGAAGATGTGAGCTTAGTTAAGACTCTCCCTGGGGATACCTGTATACCCAGGCAAGGCAGGAGACAGGACAGGTGCTGGTAGGGTGGTCAATCCAAGCCATCTAGTGACAGGAGGAGGATTCAGATGTGACCTTGTCTGTGAGGCCAGGCACTGGACTTCCCACAGGTATTGCTCTGCTCCTTCCTTCCCATGATGGCAGGGCCTTTGTCCTTCAAGTGTTCAGCCCCAGCTCAGGGCTCTCCTTTGACCCTCAATTCCCTTTACACCATGGCCTCTCAGCTCTGCCTTCCCATGTGCATAGAATCCGTACAACTTCCCACTGTCTCTGTTCATACAGCTCCCTACACCACAGACCCTCCAGGAGAACACAAGTCTGTGGAGGTAGTGGGAGGACTCACCCAGGCTGTTTCCACACTTTCAGTGCCACATAGGAACCCCTGGGTGGAGGAACCACAGTCCTGTGGTCCAAAAGCATAGGCAGAGAGAATCTCAAGTTTAAGCCCAGCCTGAGCTACGTTGTAAGACCCTATGTCAAGAAAGAAAGAAAGGAAGGAAGAAAGAAAGAAAGAAAGAAAGAAAGAAAGAAAGAATAAAGAAATGCAAAAAGGACCAGCAAATTGCTCAGAAAGTAAGATCCCTGGCTGTACAACCATGAGGATCTGAGTTTGGATCCCTGGAACCCATGCGAAAAACCAGGAATGGCTTAATATATGTGTGTAATCCCAGTACTGTGAAGGATGGGGACAGGAGGGTCACTGGGACTCGCTGGTGGCCAGTGTACCTCCACGTTCAGCAAGAGACCCTGTCTCAAGGGAAGGAAGGTAGAGAATGACAGATCATTATATCTGATATCCTCCTCTGTGGATATACACAACCTTCCTCTAGACACACACACACACACATTGACATCTATTAATCTTGCTTAATTTCCCATTTGAAGCAGGTGTTGAACTTTTTAAACATCTCCAATACCTATAAGCATTCTGTGTATGTGTGTTTGCCTGCATGAATGCCTGTGTAGCACATGTGTGCAGTACCCAGGGATGGCAGAAGAGGGCATCAGATCCCCTAGGGCTGGAGTTACAGGTAGCTGAGAGCTCCTATTTGGATACTGGGAACTGAACTCAGGTTCTCTGCAAGAGCAGCCAGTGCTCTTAGCCGCTGAGCCATCTCTCCAGCTCCTTTTAAGCCCCCCCCCTTTTTTTTTTTTGAGACAAGGTCTCATGTATCCCAGGCTGGCCTCCAACTCACTGTGTAAGTGAGGTGACCTTGAACTGTCTCCTGAATGCTAAGATTACCTGCATACACTCCCACACCGGATACTGGGGATGGAACTGAGGGCTTTGTGCCACTCTCCCAGCCCGTCACTTAAACATATTGGTTGGCATGAGACATAAGTGATATCTTCCATTTTGACCATCTTTCAGTGTGCCGCTCAGCAGTATTAATATAGTCACAGTGCTATGTCCCATTGTGCTGTAAAAACTGCACCATCACCATCTCCGGCCCAAGCGCACAATCTCTTTTCTAACTGCATTTGCCCGGTCCAGGCACCGCGAGTTAAGCTGGAACTTTTGTGGGTCACACTGGTTTCTCTCCACTGACATCCTCAGGGGTTCATCACACTATGACACAGGCCAGCTGCCACCCTTGTCGACAGCTTAGTATGTACAGCGCTCAACAGAAGATACTGAAGGAAATCTTGGCTTTGCATTCAGTGGCAAGGCTCCAGCAAAGCAGGGAAAAATAAGCCAATAGGGTTTTGTCAAAATCAAAACAGATTAGAGCCCTCAAGGGACACTGTGAAGCACGTGACAGCCACAGGGTGGGAGAGAACACGGGCAAGTTTCACGTCTGACGGAAGATCAGCACCTCCATCTGATGCCGTTCAGTTGTTGGCAAATCGCCCTGTGTGTGTCTCGCAGTCTGGGTCTGTAGGTTCATGTCATACAGAAGATTCCCCCTCTTCCTTCACTCCCTGCCACCCTTCCTGTCACCCCCGCAAACCTCTACGGCGGTATTGTATTACCATCTTATCCACCTGCTCCCCTCATAAAGCAAAGATGGCTGCCCAGCGCTATCCATCCCATCCGCCCTCCTCACAATGTATCCTTCTGCTCCTCCCTTTGGAAAGCAGCCTGATCTCTTCGCTGGGTTATGGGTGAGCCTTGCCATCACTGAAACAGAGTCCTAAGGCCTTGCTGCCTCTCCCTGGACTCTCGGATGTCCTGCAGGTCAGACTAGAAGGAGGGTAAACGTCTGAGATTGGCTTTTCTGCTCCATCGGGGGTTCAACCGGATTATTGCATACACCCAGAGTTCCCTCCATTTTTACTGCCTGTGTAGTACCTGTCTGCAGCATAGACACCACATAGTTGACTTGACCACACACCTGCTAAGAGGTGTGTATCCAACCAGACGTTTCCAGTAAAGCTTCTCCAAGCATATGGGGCCGATCTCAGGTTTCTGTCTGACTTGTGTAAAGGTGTATTATGGATATATGGGTCCTATGGCAATCATGTGCTTATGTGGGGTTTTGTTTCCTCTCTTTATAGTGCAGGCTGACCTGAAGTACAAGGTCCTCCTGCCTTGGTCAGGATTATAGTCCTATGCCACCAATACTGACTACATGTTTAATATTTTTAATGGCCAGATTGTTTCACAGAGGGGCTATGCACTTTACTTCCCAAAATGCTTGAATCCTGTTCCCGAGTATGGTGGCTTGGACTGGGACAGTAGCCGTGCCACCGAGGCACTAAGAAACCTGACTTGCTGCACAGAAGCTTCTCCAAAGAGGACTTCATTCCTTACAATAAGAGAGGTAGCACTAGGCCCCATCAATGGAAGCAGCCCTGAAGGTGCTGCACTGAAGGGGAAATTTTTCCAAGGCTAGCCCTGGCCTCTTATCTCTCTGGGTTCACACACATGGCTCCTAGTCTGACTTCTGTGAATTATTAGCAAGAAGTCGCTGGAATGACAAGGGTCCCCCCAAAACATTCTACCTCACCATGGTTTCCGGTCTCTGACTCAGATGTCCCCTGCCTAGGCAGGCACTTTACCACTCCCAGGACCAGAGAGCCAGTCAAAGGCTCGGAAGAATCGCTGCGGTCCCAGGCTACCCAGAGCACCCATGGAAAGCTACTTCTAGGCAGGGATGGGCAGTGGGAGGAGAGCCCAGGATTTGGGGAGAAATCCTGGGCTTTAGAGTCATCATCTACCTGGTGCAATGGGGAAACAGGAAGCCAGGATGGGGCAGGGGCTCCCAGGTGCCTGGACCAGGCTCTGTGTCCTGGAGTTGGAAGCAGCCAGCCTATGTCCTATGGAAGAGGAGCAGATCAGCTCCCTAGGGCTGGCCTCCATCACCTCTAGCTGTGGGTGCAGCAATGAGGCCAGAGTCTGCGAATGGGGACTTCGTGGGCTGTGCAACAGGCACAGGGCTGGCCTCAGGGGAGAACAGAGAAGGGTCGTCCTGCCTGTGGGGCCAGATCACCCTCCAGGCCTTCCTTGCTGGCGGGTCAGAAGGTGGTGACGCCCCCCGCTGCGCTCCCCACTCTGTGGTGGCTGGGGACAACCCCCGCACTGGGATTGGACGCCAGAGAACCAGGCGGAGCGGGCGGGGACCCCAGAAGCCCAGGCTCCCCGCGTCCTGCATGCAGATGCTGTTGGCCCAGTAAAGGGAAAGTAGTGCCGGGCCCACGACGGCGGCGCCAGGGTGGACCAACACACGGTGACCACGATGTTTGACAGTTCGCAGTACCCCTATAACTGCTTCAATGACGACGCCGATGACTACCCTGCCGGCAGCTCCGACGAGGAAAAACGGCTCACAAGGCCAGCGTACAGGTGACCCCGGGGCAGGTGACAGGACCCACAGGAGCGGTAGAGGTCTGGGTCATCCGCACCTGACCCAGACTAGGGGAGGTGGGATTTCATCCTTATTCCCGTCTTTGAGGAAGAAGCGCACGTTCCAGTGCACTCTGGAGACAGTCAGTGGGGGGTCCACCAAGATCTGAGCAGGCTAGTGGGGTCTGGGCAGAAGTGGGAAACAGCGAGGAAATTATCAAACGACAGCTTCTTCTGCACCCCAACACTCCAGCTGGAATCCTGGGGGGGAGGGTGCTGAAAGGCCCCTGGCAGCTTTAAAGGGTCCTGCAGAGTCTAGAAGGTATTGGAGATTTCAGAGAGATTCAGGGGTTCCAGAGTCTCCGTGTTCAGAGGGTCTCGGGGGTTCAAGAGGGTCTTGGGGGGCTTCAGGAGGTCCGGGAAACTCCAAAGGATCTTAGAGGGCTTCAGAGATTCGGTAGAAGCTTCTGCCTGCCTGCTGAGCTCTGGCAGGTCCTTGGAGAGTGGGGGGTGTCCATCTAGTCTCAAGGGTTTCGGCCAGTCCCAGGGCAGGTCGGAGTTCACCAGCGCTTCTGCGGTTTCAGCGCGCCACCCCGCCTGATGCAGCCCCTCTGTCTGGCACCCCTGTCGCAGCTACATCGCGCTGATTGCCATGGCCATCCAGCAGAGCCCCGCAGGCCGCGTGACCCTGTCCGGCATCTACGACTTCATCATGCGCAAGTTCCCCTACTACCGCGCCAACCAGCGCGCCTGGCAGAACTCCATCCGCCACAACCTGTCGCTCAACAGCTGCTTCGTCAAGGTGAGCCCCTCCCCCTTCCCGCCGCTCGCACTGGACCCCCGAGTGTCCCCAGTCATCTTTGGTGACGGGGAAGGGGGAGGGGTGTCACCACCCACACAGAAGCAAGTTCCTTGTTAGCAGATCCCCGCGGGGGGGGGGGCCCGCAATGCCCTTGCCAGAGGCGCGTGCTGCCCCAGGCTTGGGGACACTCGCTGAGCCCCACACTCCCGCAGGTGCCACGGACCGAGGGCCACGATAAGGGTAAAGGCAACTACTGGACGTTCGCGGGCGGCTGCGAGTCCCTCTTAGACCTTTTCGAGAATGGCAACTTCCGTCGGCGGCGCAGGCGACGCGGCCCCAAGCGCGAGGGGCCCCCGGGTCCCCTTGAGCCAGCAGCGCGCGGGTCAACGGGCTCTGATAGTGCGCGAGTTCCAGATCCGGAGGACCGGGTCAGCCCTGCCACACACAGAGACATCAAATTCAGCATTGACTACATCCTCTCTTCCCCGGACCCTTTCCCTGCTCTCAGAACGCCCTGTCACTCGCTGGAAGCCAGGTATCCGGCGGCGCTGGAGCCCCAGCAAATGAGCTTCCATTTTTGGGCAGCATGAGATGTCCCCTGGAGTTTTGCAGTCAGTTGAGGACTTGGGCCTGATCCTCCCCTGAAGGCAGGACTTGAACCAGGCATCTTGAATCAAGAACCCTGGACGCTGCCTCATCTACATACTTCTTCCCAGACTGCCCCGGGGTACTCAGCTCTCCATTTGGAGGAAAGATCTGGAGATCTCCTTATAAAAGGTATTTATAGTGATGTTGTGACTTTATAAAGAATAAAAACAGTTCTCTCCCAGGAAAACCTGGCTCGGATTTGGCCCCACTTCTGGATTTGCTGTGGACTCACTGAACCAACAGCCCCTACATCACTCTGTAAAATCACGCGAGGCTCCTGGGATCAGGTAGCATCTTGTCCTCAGTCGTGTGACAAGTGGCTTTGTAGACATCCCCATTCCAAAGTTAAAGTGTGCTTAGTAACTTATTCGTGAAGCTGGTTAAGGCCTTCCCTGCAGCTGAAAATAATGAGGTTTAGAACAGTGGAGACAGATGTTACTCTATCCTGTGGCTATTATTTACCCCCAGGCTTCCAATGATTGTCCAGCCATGAGGGACACAAGCAGAAATAGCCTGTGTTCGCAGCAGAAAGGTGCCCCCGGACCAGGCATGAAGGAAGGCACAGGCCTGTCATCCCAACACTTAGGAGGCTGAGGGAGAAGGACTCAGGGCCCACCTGGGCAAAATTAATGAGATCTTGCTTCAGAATAAAAAGAACTTTTAAAGATTGAAGTGGCATGTAATTTCTATACAGGGAAGAGAGGAAGAATGGAGGGGAGTGGAGGAGGAGGGGAACGTTCTCCTGATTCTTTTCAGCTCCTACCGGCTTCCTTGCATGCAGGATTCTAGCAGGGGACAGTACCACCAAACTACACAGTGGTGTGCTCGAGACAGGAGTGGAAGCGTACTCCATCTGAAATGTAAATGATTTTATTGCCTTTGAGACGGGCAGTTGAAGAAACACAATTAGGCACAATGAAACTATGCGCCCACTGTTCCCATTTTTTACCAATCCCCCTTTTTTTCCAGCATTAACAGTTTGCTGTGACTTAATTTGAATGTTAGCAATCTCATGTGTTCTATGACTATTTCCTTGAATGACAAAATTATTCCCCAACTAAGTGAGCTGTCTCGATTGAGAATGGCAATCCCCACTTTAGCTTAAAACTGAGCTGCAGGAGAAGAAAGGTGGGCAGAAGCAGGATGGAGTCACAGGAGAGGGTTCTTAGGCCTAGCTACTGATGGAGTAATCCCTTTGCTCCCATAGAGTCCTTACTGGCTAGGGAAAAGAGAAGGGGTTCCAGGCTCTGCAGCATACCTCCTAAAGGGAGTATTCTTACTCTCTGACTTCCAGCCCCTGCTGAGCACCAGCCTCTGCCTAGAAGTTGTTTCCCACCCCAGTCCAGCAAGAAGAGAGGGAGCCCTCCTCCAAAGCCCTAGCCAAAGGTGCAGCGCCCTGCCCCTTTGCAATACCACCTGAGAGTTTCCAGAACTCGGCTGATCCCACCCACACGTCTATCATGCTTGTGGGCTCTGCCATGTTATGGCCAGGCCTAACATGGCTCTCAGACCGGTGCCTGCTCCACGCAGGCTTCCTCCTCTGCCCTAGCTTGTCTATGCTGTCAGGGGTGTAAATGTGCCTGTGCCTGTGCGGGTGTGTGTGTGTGCGCACACGTGCACTGTGATCATGCTTCTGTCTGTGCCCTTGTTTTGTGTACCTGTCTATTGGGCCTGCTAAAAGCATTAACTCATGATGACGTGGAACACAGATGGTACACACATCAGAGTTGGTTCAGACAGTGTCCGAAGATACATCTTTTTTTTTTTCTGCTACCAACTGAATAAATAGAAGTTGCATTTCATCTTTTGGGTGCTTGTTTGCTTGCTTCTGAGAGTTTGTTCGAGTTAGCAAAGTCTAATTTGAAACCAAAAACCCCTTGCCCTGAGCAAGACTGAGAAGCTTAGGGAGACTCAATCCCTCTGCACACAGGTTCACTGCCAAATGCTGTCCGCAGCCACAGATGGGAGAGGTGAGGACGGTGCCAGGTGAGGCTGGTGCACCTTGAGGTTTGGCGGTCACTTTGCAGAGGCTATCAATCATGTTCTTAGAAGCAAAGGGACATTTCCAGTTTGCCAGGGCGTGATAGCCCGCGACGTCAGGAGTGAGTGGCATTTAATACCGATAACACAACAGGGGTGAGGGCTGGCCGTGACCTATTCAAATGTCGCTGCCACCACGCAGACTCACCCAATGTGATTATAATTAAATACTTTATGCCGCTCTTGCAAATCCGCAGATTGATCATCGATACGTACATTACCAGCGCATTACCCCGAGCAGATGTCTGCCACATGCGTGTCACGGATCAGTAGGTTTCCATTAACAAAGTTGGGAGGTGCTGCCAAGTGCAAGTTCGGAGAGGGGGGTAATATACATGAGTTACCTGGGTCCCAGCCTAAGTTCCTAGGCTGTACTACAAATCTCTGCAGCTCCAGAAGAAAGTGAAGGGAGCGCAGTCAGCTACAGAGGGCAGAAGACCTAATTCAGACTGTAGCCCTCCATGTGGGATCTGGCGGGAGGCCCAGTGACCTCCCGAGACGACAGTGAAGGAGAGCCAGTTCCCACAAGGCAGAATGTACCTTTGGGTTCCTTTCCCACCAGGTACAGCCAGCCTCCTAGGTTGTTGACAAGTCAATGTAGCAAATATTCCACGCTGGTATAGCCACCAGCATGCGCTACAGGAGAACGGGGCACTGCCAAAAGCTGAGACCCTAAGAAAAGGCAAGCTTATGGGAGCCCAGCCCTAACTGAAAAGGATTTGGGGCTTGCAGAGTAGATCCAATAGCAAATGTGGCTACAGGGAGGCATAGCAATATATCCCAGCTTGCCCCAGTTCAAACTGGCCCTTCTCTAACCTTGGGACTACACCTCCTGCATTTCCGCCAGAGCTGTCCCGCTTACACTCTGGCTTCCATCTTTCTACATCCATTCTTCTCTGCAATGCTGGTAGCTGGGATTGAGAAGGAGACTGGGGAAGGACTGAATCTTGGGATGAGGATTGAGTAGCTTCCCCATCGCTCTCTTGGACCCCTCACTTTCTGGAAGCCACTCCCTATTCCTCACATAGGTTTCCTGGCAGTATCCCTAGGGCACCTGAGGCAGACCGAGAGAAAAGGGTGTTTTCATCCGCCATCTGCCTGTGACTGTATCTCAACTTTTTGGAATGGTCTGCAGTAGCCTCCTGTTCTCAGGCTCCCCCCACCCCCGCCTCAGTTTCCTCACCAAAGACAGATTCTCTCCCACCTCCTAAGTTATAACACTACAAGGAACCCACCCCATCCCCCACCCCACCCCATCCCCACCAAGGGCAGGCCTGGGCTATAAGGTCCAGACTAGAACATGCTCATCTCAAAGCCAGGGTCCTGGGAGATCTCAAGCATTCTAGGCTTAGAACACAGTCTGGAGCCTGTTTTTCTCCAAAGTGTCAAAATGAAAATAGGTATCATGGGACGGTGGCAGTCCTGTGTCCCTCCCAATGTCAGGTCCATCTTTGTCTGACTCCAATCATGCTGGAAGGTTGCCCCACCCCATCTACCAGCCACTGACTCTACCAGTGGACGGCGTTCCAGATTCTGCTGAAGTCTACTAGTCTGCCCCATGCAGAGCGTTTACTAACTCGAATCTGAGAAATAAGCTCCTGTAGCTGGATATTCTGGCCTTTGAGCGGATGTTAGGGTACATTCCTAGGGCATCTGATCTGTGTCTCCCAGTTTGTGGGAGCCATCAAAGGTCTTCTGGGGAACAGAGAAGGCCGTGGCTGGACTGGAGAGAGGCGGAAGGTGTCCCTCCTTGTCAGGCTGAGGGTCTGTAAGAAAAGCTACTACAGAGCAAGGCCATCTGGTCAGCTGTGTGGCGACAGGGCCACCCTAGGGTAGGAATGCTGGACAGCCACTGCTTGCAGAACTGGGTACTACATCCAGCACACTAGCTGGGAGAAAGGGCAGTGAGGGAGGCATCAGCCATCTGCAGGAGCCTGGAAACCCAGCCACGTGATTGAGGGACAGGCAGACAGGTCTCCAAATCACAGCAGCAGCGTCCAGTGTGTGCCAAGCTTTCTCTCTGCCTGGCACTGCTCTGAGAGTCTCTGCTCAAGGATGCTTTAAACTGGAGTTAGAAATACTGACTACTGAGCTGGAGAGATGGCTCTCATGCACTGATTTTCTAGAGGACCCGAGTTCCCAGCACCTGCATTAAGTGGCTCACAACCACCTGTAACTCCAGTCCCAGGGAACCTGACACCTTCCTCTGCCCTCCACGAGCACCTGCACTTACACCCATATCCACACACAGATGAGCATGCATTTGCATAATCAAAGAGAAACATATGGCTGTGCTTGGTGGTGCACACCCTTTAATCCCAGCACTTGGGAGGCAGAGGTGGCTCTAAGGGAGGTCCAGGCCAGCCCGGTGTACATAGTGAGTCCCAGGCTGAACAGGGCTATAATAAAATCTTATCTCAAAAACAAAGCAAAAACCCATTGAGATGGCTCAGTGGGTAAAGGTGCTTGCTACCAAGTCTGACTACCTGCATTTCATCCCCAGAAACCACAGAGTGGAAGGAAAGCATCAGTTCCTAAATGTTGTCCCTTGACCTCTGTGCACTCTGTGACACATGTATACCCTCACGCGTCTACTCAGATACACATAAACACATAAAATAAGTGAATGTAATATTCTTTAAATAGACTATCTACTAGCTGAAGAACTCCTCCAGGGATAAGGTGATCACTGTGACTCAGCTGCTGAGCTGCTGATGTTGGGGTGCGGTGGGGGTCCCTTCTAGTAGGATATCAGTGAAGGACTGTCTTCTAGTGGGACATCACCAGAGCCCACCCACCTCTCAGGAGGAGTTACATCAAAAAAGAGAAAGGAAGGAAAAAAAGGAAAGGAAGGAGGGAGGGAGGGAGGGAGGGAAGGAAAGAAAAGGAAAGTGCTTGGCCTGTGATCTGTGATATGATTTTTTTATTGTTGTTGTTGTTCAAACTAACAATCTGTGAACAGTTACAAAATTACATTTTCATTTTCATTCTGCACAAAATGCCAGTCACATCCTGGGCAAAAAGTGCCTGGTCCTCACGCTCCACTGTGCAGAAGGGACAATCCCCAAACCAGTGCGGAGCACATGGGGCCCGACAGAAATTAACAGGATCTTGTATGCACCGGTACAATTACATTCAGGCCAGCTTTAGGCGACTTCAAACCCAGGTTCCAAATACGATGTGCGTTCACTGAACTGAAACACGGGGTATTAGATTTATAATAAACACAGAGAGAGGTCACATGGCGCTGCCATTTCTCAAGAGGAAAGGAAATTGAACGGGAATGTCAGGACTTTATTCAGCTGGGCCCTGTGCTCTGTGTTGAATCCAGGTGACCAAGAGGCATCACTGGCCAAGGGTAGCACAGCTTGGGGCATCTGCCATGTCCTGGGTTCTGTCACTGGAACTCTCTGTGTAGTCCAGGCTGGCCTCTCATTTGAGGCAATTCTGCCTCAGCCTCCAGAGAGTTGACATCATAGCTAGGCTTACACTTACCTTTGAGACAGAAGTGGCTTTGAACTTGGGACCTT